CCAAATTCGTTAATGACGTCACAAACGGCATGTATTACTCTTGTTTTATGAAAAAAGGGGAACTGTAGATTCATTTTTGAACATTCTATGCAAGAAAAATGCGCGATCCCTGCTTAAAAATGTAACGCGTTACCATGCGTACAAAAATCGTTTATTTGCGCTGTAAAAAACATGCAATGTTTAACATTTTGCAATAAAATCCATTTAAATTTATTTTCTGACTAATATCAGGTAGATCTCTTCAAAAGCCATTGATTCATACTAAAATCACCCATATTGCAAGCATTATTTTGAAATTACCTATTTGTTAATAGGTTCGGTACTTAATCTGTAAAATGACATCTCCATATATTTCATCAACATTGCGCGCAACGTCATATATTTCTTCTTGGCGTCGCTCTCTTATAATATAACGTTTAGAGTAGTATCTATCCGCCCTTCTTCGTTCAATAGTTATTTTTTTTATTCGTGAATGAATTATTCATTAATCATTAATAATCTTCCATTGTTTTATTTTTCCTCGATGGAAAATAATCGACTTTTTACAATATTTTAAGCAGATTAGAAAATGCAGCGTTTCTGGGAATGGTCACACGATCTTCCAAAATTTATAAAACTCTTAGCAAAACCATCAGCAATTATCTCAGTTTTGGGGGAAAACCCATAAAAGTTTCATATTTTTATTTGCTTACATGAATGAACCTGTAGCTAGGGATCTTTAGCAATGAAGTATATTTATCGAAATTCATGTGGTATGATGTCATGATAAATCGCTTGTAATGGAAAGCTAGGGGAGTAAAAACCATCTATCGACAAACCACCATATATTAAGGTTTGCCCGGGGAATATTTTTAATCAATGCGATATTGTTTAATAAACAGAAATTTTCACGCTAGGTCCTTTGATAAAGGAAAAAAAGGGAAATTGATCTTACTATAGAACATACATATATATTTGGCAAATCAAAACTTAATCAACTCTCTTCTTTGAATTTTAAATGTAATATATTACGACGTTTCTGTATGGTCCGCGATGTCGTATTGGGGATCTGATACATTGAGGCATGTCTATGTGTGTGGCCCTTTGTGTAACCTCTATTGATTACTGACTAATTTCCAGTTATATACGATCCCGAGTGATCTTTAACTTTGCAAAGATAAACGGGAAGCTCTTTACGAAAGGAAATAATTTACAAAAACCATTTTCTGGAGGATTTTAATTTATAAGTTGAAAACACGTTTTGTGTAATATATCAAAATATGGCTAATAAACTGAAAGATATTGAAGGTGCATGGATTAAATTTTTTGAAAAGGCGGATGTGAATTGTGATGGAGCGGTCAGCATAGAGGAACTAAAACACATTCTAACAGTGGAATACAAACAAAAACTCTCTGATCGAGAAATAGCCGTAAGTTCTCCATTCTCTATAGGGATGCATAGTCTGATAGACAATTTGTCTTTATTCAACAGTTCCAGTACTATCAATACAACGATGATTAATAAATTTTTGGACCAAGTTTACGGAATCCTAGAAATTAAACTGCAAGTAGAAAAAATAGCTAAATATGCTAGAAATTACTAGTAAACTGCAAGAAGAAAAAATAGCTAAATATTTTACACTTCTTAATAAAACATAAAGGGAAAAAATGCAAATTCCGTAACAAGAATAACCAAGTATTCTTATTGATAGGATTTACAGAGGTCACAGGAAGGACACAAAATATGCCAATTTCCGAATTTTCTAATTTTTATTCAAATTTTTCATCAATTTTAAAGCACTTTTCTTTTCAGAGACAAAGAGCACAAGCTTGTCTATATACCAATTTTATTTTTTATTTCATGCAGTAATATTACATGAATCTTTTGTATAGAAATCTATTTATAAAAATAAAAAAAAATGTTTTCAAAATTATAAAGTATCTCTATTTGAGGGAATTCCACCAGAACTGAGAAAATTCGGTAAAACGTTATACTTTGTCACCCTCTTGCTACCTCCGTGAACGCTTTGAATCATAATCAATGCTGATTTTAAAACAAGCAACATTAAAAGTTCTTAATTTCAGACGATCACAATTTAAACTTGTGTTTTGATTTTTATTTCGAATAAGGGGCCAAATTCGGTCGTTATCATACCTTGTCCTTTAAACGTAAAAACACACTTTAGGGTAAATAATAAGGATACAGTCTCATCGGATACATCATTTTATGTCGTTATTCAATGAAAACATCTGTGGAATGTACATACAAAATGTAGGTTTTACTTTGATGGCAGTTCGTGTTATATAACAGTTTATTATACACTTTGTGATAAATACAGGGTTTTTGTATATTCATTACATTTTACTTTACATTAGTCATATCAGCTTCCCGAGCTGTTACGGATGTGGACCTACAGGGCTGAAACTTATAGATTATTGACTGAATATCGGAAAATATGCCCGCCCGAGGTCTTTGCACAACTTACAACTTGAATCTCGGTACGTTATATACCGCGCAAAGACCTCGTCGGGTATATTTCCCGATTTTCAGTCAATAACCAAATAATAATACATTTATCGTTATTTTCTCTAGAAAAATGTTCTTAAGATACTGTTATTTGATATAATAAACCTGTCTCCGGCCTTCTGGTTGATATTGGTATCTCGGGCTGATACAGGGTGTGATATAGAAAAGGATCTTTCCACCTTTCTGTGGAAAGACCTCTTGAAATGCTTATATATATTAATATTTTCCTATTATGACCTTTTGAACTGAAAGACTTCCTGAAAAAACTTATGATGCTTGATACTCGACTATTTCAATTATTTCGAAAAACAACCCAACGAGTATGACCTCTGACCCCTTTTAGAGTTATTACCCCTTGTTTGAAGAAACCTTGTTAACGCTACTCCTCTAAAATCATAAACCCTAGAGATGCCAAACTTTCACCTATGTCTTTAACTACTTTAGAAAATGTTTCAATATTGTCAGCGCGAAACAATTTATCGACCCCTTTTATGAGTTATTACCCCTAAAAGTTTTCGCTCTTTGCGCATAATTGAAGCCCGCGTGGCGCAGAGGTTAGAGCGTTTTCTCTAGAGTCACGTAGTAAGGAGTTGATCCTTCGGATGGTTCTCATCTATAATACTTATTCTGCATCATTCGTCAACTTCTGAATATTTTTTATTTCTTATAAGGCGGTGGTCTATTTCCAACCACTTGTCTTAAAGAACACTCCATTGCTTTGGGATTCAAGTTTCAAACAAATGAAGGACCAGGCCTCTTTGAAAAGAGAGATAAGGGAGAACTTTAGAAAATTGAACGGGACTACAAATGTATTTACATTGTACAATCTTGTTCTCTATTTAAGCTTACACGCTGACAAAAATAACAAAATTTATATGAAATGTTTCAATCATTATGTTGATTCCAATTTTTTTCTACCGTTTGTTGACAACACTACGGGTTCAAGTTTCTGATTAAAAATATAAGAATGATTAACTGACTACATGTATCTTCACCTTAACAACAGCTTGTCTGCATATTCCCAAATAAGAAATAATTAACACGCATCCTTTAAAAGTAAACAGTAAAAGTAACATAGTATCAATATTTTTTTTTTATTAATGACCCCAGGGCATATGTTGTAAACTTAAAGGATATAACGAATTACGCTTAAAACGAAGCAAAACCGTCCGTCCCTGGCACTTCGTCATAAGCGTGTTTTACTGTATAGTAGGTCTCGGATACCCAGGATGTTCGATGTCATAGACCTTTGGTCTCTAGAGTAGTTTCATGATTATTGCTAGACCGCTTTGCAGACGGATACAATTATTAACAGTAATATGAAGGGGGAAAAAACCCGGTGGCGCTTTCACAAAGCTTAAACACAAAATATCAAGTAACAGATGTATGAACATGCATCGATTACGCAAGTTTTTAGATTTTTTAATTTTTTTATGAAAAGAATGGGCCTTTCATCAAGTGACAGAGGAATGTTTTAAATTACCGCTTCTTTATATTATTGTTACCTGATATCTAGAATAAAAATTACCCGTTTTAACCATACTTTAAATATGAAATACTTCCGAGAACGTAATATAGTTCCGAGAATTAGTGTACATACATGTATGTGAAATAAAACATGGCGGAGAGGAAAACACTGGAGAATTTATGGCTGGATTTCTTTGACAAAACAGATAGGGATAAAAACGGTGTTCTTTCAATAAGTGAGCTAAAGAAAGCTCTGGTAGAGGATTATAATCGTAAAGATTTAACAGACTCCGAGATTGCCGTAAGCCTTTCTCTCTATCACTCTCTCTCTCTCTCTCTCTCTCTTACAAATTGCAAATATAAACTATCAATGTAATGAAAATTTAATTGTGTACTTCGGTATTGAGTTTCGACTTTCTGAAAAAAGTTCATCAAAATCATATATTGCTCAGGAGAGGATGATCCCTCCTTTTCCCCACTAAAGATTCTGTTGTTGTTTTCTTTTTAAGTTTTGTTTCAATATGCAAATGAGTAAATATTATTTCATTCATATATTACCAATAAGCCTGTCATTAAGTTCCACTTTTTTTAAATGCAGAAGTATGTCTTTTGTGTCTTCTATTTGTGATATTGCATTTTCAAATTTTGAAGGTAATGGCTGATTATAAACGTGCCTGGGATCTTAATAAATACCCAGATTTAGAACTATTTTATGACATTTTTATTAAGAAAAATACTTAAGTAAACCTACAAAGTTTTTTTTTGCAAAATGCACAAGAATGAGAATGGAAATACCTACACTGTACAAAACTCGAAAAGAATGACCTCGATAGGTCTGCATTGTCGTTTATGAATTTCTAACATGAAGTTGAAAATGGTGAGGATTGACATCATAATTTTCCATTCCTCATACATCTACATAACATGTAAATTACATATGGTATATTTATTAAACATTCATACTGGTGCTGTTTAATATTTATACGACATTAACAACATCATAGTCTTTATTATTTTGTTTTTACAGGAAATGTTCTCTGACATCGACAAGAATGGAGACGGCCAAATAACAAAAGAGGAATTTCTGTGTGAAATGATGAAGAAAGAAAGAAGGTCAGTGTAAATGTTTGTGTATGGAGGGGGGTATTTGGGGTGAAGGTTATTTAAGCAAAGAAAGAGTAAAAAAAAGAATCAGTTTTCTTTTAACAAATCAATATTGTACATATAATATATAATAATTACAGAACAGCTGTTGAGGAAGCATTTCAGAAGATTGATAAGAACGGGGACGGTAAACTGGCCAGAGACGAAGTGGCAGCTGCCATGCGAGAGATTGGTCATTTTACGGACGAAGAGATCGATAAATTGATCAAAAAAGCTGACAAAAACAATGACGGTGTCATTGATCGGGCAGAATTTGAGAAAGAGGTCTACTAAGGAATTTCGTACTTGATTCATATAATATACGTACTCTTCTAAATGTTCAGAAAATTACTAGTATTTGCTATTTTTTTTTTTTTTTTTTTGCTTTAAATGTTTTTTCACCAGCCTAATGTAATGCAAGTATTTTCAAATTTGTATTGTCAAAACTTTAACAAATTAACTTATGTTAATGTTGCTTATACTGGTAATTTAGGTTAAATCTGATTTTAAAACAGGATATAATCGGTTTCCTCACATTCTCAATTCCATTGTTCTAAGTAAAGCCTGAATAAGCACATATGCTGGTTACATGTATAACTTTTTTTTTTACTTTAATCTGCATATGTATGAACAAATTTAAGAAAATTACTATTTCCCGATGATTCTGTCTTAATGTCCGAAATAGAGATGCTTCGAAATAATATTTATTTGGGTGGCCAGTGATGACTGCCATGTTAATATCAACAGTCCTCATAGAGTACTAACACTACTTACTTAAGCATACATTCAAACTTTATCACTTTTTCACTGTCACTGTATATAGATATCAACGATGTTTTGTAGATTCATGACACATTTTGGAAATCCATCAAAATAAGACTTAAGCACATATCATAAAAGGGAACGTTTCACATTTAACACATTGTCTTCCGAATTCTGTAAGTAAAGAATCCCCCCCCCCCCGATTTATTATTACTATTATAATATTACAACTAAAATAATAAAGATCCAGAAAGAAATCAGTATGTAAGTTAAAGGCTTTATGAAAAAAAGTTTTGATTATGTGATGAGTAAGTTTAGCTTTGTCTTTAGGTATATTCTATTTCTACTTTACTGTTTATACATATATGCATGTATAATTGTTTCTGGCTTTTTTCCCCCAGTATATATATCACTTGTACCAATAACTCATGTACCAGTTATCATTGTGTATCCTTTTTTTAGCTTCAGTTTGAAAGTTGAATATATATTTTGTTGATTTATAAATTCTTCAGATTTTAAACTCTACATAATTATATAATAATGAAATTCCTTTTACAATTTTTGCCTATTAGATATTATACATGTAATTTAAGTCAAGGTTTATTGGAACTACGAAATTCATCAGATTCCAGTATGTTCAAATAAAATGCAATTATTACACTCATAGTTCTTTTTTTAATTCTATGATTTTTAAATAAAAGGAAAGAACTTTTTTTTCTATAAAGGTAATTAAATTTATAATAGATTCAGTATATGCACTATTGCTTTCAGTAAGCATACCAAATTTCCATATACTAGTATTGAGGCAGATTTCTCTTGGGCGTTGTTCATCAAGTAATGCAGTACACACGGTACTACCCGGGGGTATTTTTTTGCAAAATAGGTCAAAGGTCAAGCTCAAATGGATTGTAACAATGGTATTTTTCATGTTTATGACAGTGCACCTGTTAAATAGCGTAGACTTACCTCTTAAATGTGAAAAAAAAAATGTGTCGTATATCGGCATTATGCGCTATTTTGAAAAGTAGGTCAAGGGTCACGAATCCGGTAGCCATGGTAATTTACAAAAGCCAAAGTGCCAAACAGTATTTCTACAAAATATCACATCCATATCTCCTCTAACAGTTCTTGAGATATAAGGTGTGACAGACAGACGGACTTCGGATAAAGTGATCCCTAACTGTCGCTCTGCTCTGTAAGTTCCAGTTAGTACGGAAATTAATTCTTACCACCCAAAGAAAGTGCCCACCATTATAAGAAAATAATTACCTTACCACTCCAAAAAAGTGCCCACCATTATAGGAAGCTAATTACTTTACCTTACCATCCCAAGAAAGTGCCTACCATTACTAGTATAGGAAACTAATTACTTTACCTTACCATCCCAAGAAAGTGCCTACCATTACTAGTATAGGAAACTAATTACTTTACCTTACCATCCCAAGAAAGTGCCTACCATTACTAGTATAGGAAACTAATTACTTTACCACCCTAAGAAAGTGCCTACCATCATAGGAAACCACAGGGGCTTACTCCCCGCGTGTAATAATTATTTATTAAAAAATCATATACTGTAATACTAAAAAAAAGTGTTGTTTTACATGTAGACTGTATTACCGTATATGATTTTTTGATAAATAATTATTACACGCTGGGAGCAAGCCCCTGTGTAGGAAACTAATTACTTTGCTTGTATCGCCATGACGTAAGTGAGTAAAGACCACAGAATTACTTGAACCTTAGGATTCAGTGAGATAAAATGAGTGCGTTGGGTGATTTAGGAAATAAGTTTAGCTGTTCTAGTATGTCACTGTTGTACATAATGTCACAGGTACGAAAGCTGTCCCCCAGTGAAAATACGGTACTAAAATTATGCAGGAAAATATTCATGAATTATGGTTTTTTAGAGCATATATGATGTATACTGAGAATATTTTCAGCAAGCTTTGTCTATCAGCACGACTTCGTCTAACTTCGAGCGAAAAGAACATTGAGGGAGAAGGCTTGTATAGATTCGGGGAATGTTTGTATCAATATTAGGTATGAATTCACGCCAAACAACACCTCTACGAAACATTCTGTCGGCATTTATGAGTGGTGTCTGCGGGAATTGAACCTAAGCGGTGCATGGCTATGATGATCAAGGCACCATCTACCAAATTGTAAACTTGTGGCCCCAGGGTGAGGGGTTCTGCAGAAGGGGGCTCTATATATTGATTATAAAGTAAAAGTGCATTATTTCTTTGAAAGTTTCTGCTGATGGGTATTGAACAAACAAACCACGTACATAGTTACTGCTCCTAGGTATTTAGCAGATAAGTGCATGGCTATGATGATCAAGAGAGCTTCTTCCAAAATTGTGAAATTTGTTGCCCCGGGGTCAGGGGTTCTATGGGAGGAGGGCTCTATTGATTATATGGTGAAAGTGCTTTATTTCTTTGAAAACTTTCTCTACTACTGGGTATTAAACAAACAAACCAAGTACATGGTTAGAGTGAGCAAGGGTGCTTCTTCCAAAACTGTGAATTTCATAGCCTCTGGCTTAGGTATTCTGGTATTAGAACTGGGCTGTATTGATTTATTGATCTATTGATCTAATGAAATTGCATTAATTCTTTTTTAAAAATCTTCAATCCTTCTAGATATTTAATAAAGAGACTAAGTGCATGGTTATGATGAGCAATTTTGAGGCCCCATTGTAAGGGGTTCAGGTGAGGGTGTACCTGCTATATAGTGAAAATGCATTATTTCTTTGAAACTCTTCTTCTCTGCCCCCTGGGTACTTCGCAGGCAAACTAATTGCATGGTTATGGTGAGGAAGAATGCTTTTTCAAAAAGTTTGAAATTCATAACCCATGGCTCAGGGGTTTTGGTGTTAGGGTGGGAGGTCTTTTGAATGTTTGGTAAAAAGGCATTTCTTTCAAAATCTTCTCTGCTACTGGGTATTTAGCAAGTATACTAAATGCATGGTTATGTTGAGCAAGGTGCCTCTTTAAAAAATATTAATTTCTTGGCCCCTGGGTCATGGGCTCTGGTGTTAGGATGGGGCTATGTTGAATCTATTGTGAAAATCCATTATTTCTTTGAGAATCTTCTTCTCTGCTCCTGGGCATCTTGGAGGCAATCAGGGTATATAAATTTGTAATAAGCAAGGGTATTTTTACTAGATTTTTGAAATTCTGCACCACTTGGTCGATCTATTAAATTGTATTCAATGGAAAGAAGTTATTCCCCTTTGCTATTCACCCATGATAATTAATCACTATAAAAATGTAATTGAAAGGTCAATTGAGTTACAGGATTATACAAGATATTTTTATAATATTTCAAATACAAAAAGTACTTCCATAATTTTTAATGGTTAGGTAGACTTGTAAATAATAGATAACTAAAAATGGGACAAAAATATTTTATCTCTGTACATTGAAAGTTCTTCAAAGACTAAGAGAAGCCAATGTGAGAGGGAATGAGATAGGTATACTAATAGTGCTCAATAACAATGGCTTTGTGTACTAGTAGTACCCATGGGGTTAGTGACAAATGGGGGCAAATACAGACAAGTAAATAGATCAACTTATATATTTGTTACCTAGTACTTAGTTATTTTGCTGATCCCTGATCATCCTATTATCTTGCTTTTGGGCAACATAGCTTCATTTATCAGCTTATTTTGTTTTATTTTACAGTCTGTGTTACATTAAACTCAGGTGACTGTTAAGGCCCTTGTGCCTCTTGTCTTGTACTTTTTTTTCTGTATGTATATATTAAACGATTCTTGTAATTTGTCTCTATATAGTATACTGTACATATTGTCATTGTTTATAACAGGAAATAAAACCCTTTGTACATGAAATCTAAAATCTACACCATGTTTAATAATCTGTTCACATCAGAAACATACGTATACACCTATAGGGCATTCCGTTGTTTTGGAATCTATATTGCACAAAGGAAAAATATGAATTCAAATTGTTTAGTTCTTATGAATTCCTTTAGATACTCAATTTGTTTCTTTTGCTGCCTATAACATATTAGGCAGCATATAATCATCATGTTTCTAACAAAGTTCCTGCAAACATGATGACTTTTTGAATTTGCAAAAAGCTATGTAACAATGCAAACTATAATACTGATACAGAATGAAATATCTGTTTTATTGCATTGTCTTATTATATTTTGCATTGTTACATTTTGCATCAAGATTAATGCAGAATATAAGGCAAAAAGTAATAACATTAATGCAAAACGTTTTAATAAAAATGAAATAACACACATTTTGGATTATTACAATTTGCATTACATGTATTACATTTTGCATTGAGACTAACACAGAATCTTATAGGGCACAAAATGTAATAACTTTTCCATTATGACAAGGCATATAGGGATTTACAGACATGCTTCGGGTACAGAATCTGATGCCCATGTTGGATGATTGAACATGTTCAAGTTTTTGGAGCAGGTCCACTCTCATCCATTCACAAGAGATTACGAGTCCTACTCTCATGGATGTGGAATGACCTTGTTACCCCGTACTACATGTACTAATCTTCCACACAATAAATTTTGACGGGGAATCCCAAGGTTTGAACTTTCTTTCAACTTCTTTGAATATTTATAACTGATACTTCCCATATTAAAATCCAGAAAAGAAATTGTACACAGCTGTTATGATAATTTATTGAAGGCAACATTGTTTATATAAATAAATGTCAAAGTTATATCACAGTAAATCCACCACACAGCAGTTATAGTAAACAAAAATCAGCAGTATCATTAGAAAAAGTAACATCAATTAAAAATACTTTGTTTGAGTATCTAAAACAAAACATACCATCTCATTTAAAATTTCATTTCAATCAATCTGACATTATACATTGTACATTATTGACATACATGTACAACACTTTTCTCACATACAAACTTAAGTTACACCAGCCTCACATTCTTAATATAATACATGTATATTGTATCATCTCACATTCTTATATCATACACTGCACCATCTCACATTCTTATATGATATACTGTATCATCTCACATTCTTATATCATACACTGCACCATCTCACATTCTTATATGATATACTGTATCATCTCACATTCTTATATGATACACTGTATCATCTCACATTCTCAAATCTATTTCTGTATTACACACACATTTACACCATTCACTCAAAACAAACAAAATTTATCCAAAGGAGGCCTTTTGATTTAGCTTCAACATGAAACCAAACTATAAAAACAGCTTTAAAACTAACCTTCACAAGATTTCAATTGATAATTTATATGTCAAACTGTTATTTCAAAGTTTTATCTTTGCCTTTAAGTAGAACTAGACAATTAGATCAATAACATCAATCCTCCTGTAACATAATATTTGGTTGGCTCTTTAATTGTTACCAATATTTTGTAACACCTATTTCTATTGGCCAGTTGTTGTCGGGGTTACCATTGGTTGTGACTGAGAGGAAAAAAGTCCATCATCCATTTTACTCTGGGTGTCACCAGGACTATCTCGTCGCCTGTTATTGAAAAAGAGAAGGAAAAATTTTTTAAAATGATTATTGAAACCAGCTTCTAGTAAAAAGTTCAAATGGTATAACTCAAAAGATTAGAAAATGATCAGATCCCATCTACAATATTTATAAAAACCAGATGTTGTATATGTCTGTAACTGTACATAAAACTTAATGATTTATTTTATATAAAGCCCAATTATCTTGATCACATATGACTCTTGCTTGTCAACTACTTATAATTCTGTAATTTAAATTATCCTATTTTAATGTTTTTTTGTATTTGATTTGAGTTATTAATCTTGCTATGGTGGTGTTTGAAAATTAATATACATCCTCCATGTGTCGATCATGGTAATACCTTGTTGGAGGAGGGGGGATATGATCTGTATCCTCTGGCATTTGTTCTCCATCAGACATCACTTGATTTTCTGTGTAAAAAAGAAAATGCAATGTGCAGTTAATACAAACAAGTTTTACCATTTCAAGGGAAAAAAGAAATGATGTTAAGTTTCCATACATTTAATTCTTACATGCTTTTCCTATAAGGTTGTCAAGTGAGGATTTGTCCAAACCAATATAGCTGTATAATAATACATACAATTCTAAGCCGGCTGATGCTAGCATATATTAATCACATTTCTTTTTCATTACTCAAGGTCAAAGGAAATGTCAAGGTCAAAAAATGTTGATGCAGTTGAATAGCATATTTCAGTATGTACAATATCAGCCTACGAATTTTGATAACACTATCTGGAATGATTTCTTTAAAATCAAGCTAAACACTAATTTAAAAAAAAGTGTCAAAGGAAAGATTAAGGTAAAAAAAATGTTGATGCAGTTGAATAGCTCTCATTAATATGTATCAGCATATGAAGTTTGATAAAAGTAGCTTCAATAGTTTCTTTGAGACTGAGCTACACGCAAAGCACAACGGAAGGACAGATGGATGGAGGGACAGAAGACAGACATGACAAACTCTATATGCAGTTTTACATTCCATCTCCTTATAAATTATTTAGTACAATTCTCTTTTCTGCTTGAACTTTCAGTAAGGTGTGACATTCTCGGCGATACATAATTAGCATCTCTCCAATGGTGACCTAGATTCTCATTGGTTAAGAAATTAATAACATTAGCAACTTAGACTGTTGTTGACAAATGATTGAGATAACATAAGCCACACCTCTTTACTGTAAGAAATGATGTCATTGGTTCCCTGTGTCACTCGTTGACGTCTGTCCCATTTTTATCCTATGTGTATTTCACTCGTGAATGAAAAGCTGTGTAAATTTCAGTATTGATGAGCTAATCTGGCAACCAATGAGAATCTAGGTCACTATTTGAGAGACGCTAATTATGTATAGCCGAGAATGTCACACCTTACTGAAAGTTCAAGCAGAAAAGAAAATTGTAATATTATAAATCATTTATTGAGATCAAAGGGTTGGTTTTACATGTAGTTGTGAATAAAAGATTCTTCAAAGATAAAAGTACAGCTCATCCCTAGAATGACCTCTTATCACTTCAAGTGTGGCTCATTGTTTTCAAATCGTAATGTACATCATAAAAAATCAAAACATTTAGGTGCTCCCTAATTTACAGTTTTCAATGTACATGTGTATATAAGTTGGATTTCTGGGAGTTAAATTTTGGTCCAAAACTCTATGTACAACTTAAAAGTGAGTCCTAGAAATATTGGTAATTATCTGGAAATCAAAGTAAATTTGTAAACTCCAACAATTATCATTGACAAAAGTCTGGGCATATTCTGAACATTATTTCATACAGGAAAGGAATATCTAAGGTCGCCATATACATGAAGTACAAGCATAGGTCCTACAAATTTCAATTATTTCGATTTTGATCAAATTATTGTTGTTAATACAAGATCAAATAATGATGTCATACTTCAAAGCATACTTTAAACAAAGGAAAGTACAATAGAATATTAATCTGAAATTGACAACCAATTCTGGCAAAATAATTGTGCCCAGTTATAAGTGGGTCAAAATTCCTCCAAATAATCTGAAAAGTACACTAGACTTATAAAGGAACTGACTACGGTATAAAAAACATTTGTTCATCATTACATATAGATGCAAAGGAATATTTCTTTAGTTTCAAATTGGTACAAGATCTTAAAAAGGAATCTGTAAATGTTTACAATGTAGTAGTTTATAAATAGTCAACATGAACAGATGACAAAGAGTAAGTGGGGATGACAATATAACTCAGGTGACCTAAAATTCTACAACCTTACAAATTTCTTTTGTCCTGTTGACCTTAAATTGAACTCTTGAGAAGAAGTTACTCCTAGTATATTAAACTGGTTTTAATCATAAGTTTAAGTTTGATCATACGTTTTCATTCAATTAAGCTGTTATTTACAGGGCCATTAAAGGTATAAAGCAAATCAACTTATGAGATATTGGTACCAGGTATATCGGTATTTATAATTATACAAACTCAGGGAAATGAATTTCTTCAATGGCTTAAATGAGATTAAAGGGAAAAATAGTGTTCTGTATATAATTATTATGATCAGAGGACAAAGATGTACTGTTATGATGGCAATCTGCTATGTATACGCTGTAATAAAAAAAAGTTAACATTACTGAGCCTTAACAAGTATCATGTACACAGTATATACCCTTTTTCCATGTCACACCCAGTATCAGCCCAAGACACCAATGTCAGCCCAAGGGCTGATATGGGGTGTAATGTGGAAAAGAGTATATTTTTTACATTTATTAAATACTTAGTAATAACATTTAATAGAAAAAAGGGAAATTAAATAAAATAGTTTATCATATCAAAAGTAGAATTAATTATTAATTTTTAAAACATGATAACACATTCAGCATTTTCAAATTTTGATGCAGGTGATTATAGATACACACTTTTTGGCCTGATAATGATTCATATAAAGTCCTTATTTGACAGTGATCCTGAGAAACCTTGACCTTGAAGTTTGACCTACTTTTCAAACATTTTAAGGTTACTTTAAATTGGTCATAAAATCTGAATAAGAAAACATAGGGCTTTCATATAACATGTACATTACCTGTGACAAGACCTTTCAAAATGTACCATGCTTTTTGACCCCATGAACTTGAAGTTAACCTACTTTTCAAAAATTTTATCTTTGCTTATAACTTTTGATTGAGAAAAGATAGGGCTTTTATGTTTGACATGTGCATTACCTTTAACAAGAAGGTTCTGAGCATGCTATAATTTTTTACCCCTTGACCTTGACATAATTTTAAAAAGTTTAACTTTGGTGATTACCTTTGAATGATTTATGATAGGGCGTTCATATTTGACAAGTGCATTACCTGTGGCAAAATCTTTCCAAATGTGCTATGGTACTTGACCCTGTGACCTTGACCTTAATTTTGACCTAATTTTCAAACATTTTATTAGTGTTGCTAACTTTTGAAGGAACAAAGATAGCCTGAGGGCATTCACCCTTCAGAAAAGTATATCATTTTTGACTTTGACCTAGAATTTTTACTTCTTAAAAAAAATTTTAACCTTGACCATAACCTTTTTGCTCCATAAGAGACAGACCTTTCATATTTTTTCACATCTGCATTATTTGTGACGAGACCTTTCGGGATGTACTATGATATTTGACTTCATGACCTTGATCTTGAAGTTTGATGTAGTTTTGAGAAGCTATAATCTTTGCCATAACTATTATTTATTCAATAATTTATGTCTTTTTTGTAGGAACACAAGACACACAAACAACACAATTACAATTTGCATTTCCTTTTTGAAGAAATAGACCAGAATATACATTTTTTTTATCATTCTGATATTACGCCAGGTCTAAGATGTATAATCTGATTATAATCAGCTGTTTCGATATGCTAAGGCTTGTAGTAATGCATTTAAAATGTATAGTTCTTGTTACTGCAATATTGAGAGTGTATAACAAGAGGCTCTTGAGCTACAATGCTCATCTGAGTCACCTTGGCTCTCCTGTTATTAAGAAGAAAATTTTAAAGAACTAGAAATATGTCCATAGGACATGAATGCCCCGCCGAGGGTATATTAGTAATGCAAAATTTTAACACAAATTGAGAAAAATGAGGTCAAGGTCAAAGGAAAGGTCAAGGTGAAAAAATATTGATGCAGTTGAATAGCTTACATCAGTATGTATCATCATATGAAGTTTAACACTAATTTAAGAAAGGTGAGGTCAGGGTCAAAGGAAAGGTCAAGGTAAAAAATTATTGATGCAGTTGAAAAGGTTACATCAGTATGTATTAGCATATGAAGTTTGATAAAAAATATTATGAATGGTTTCTATAAAACTGAGCTAAACACTAATTTAAGAAAAGTGAGGTCAAGGTCAAAGGAAAGGTCAAGGTCAAAAAACATTAATGCAGTTGAATAGCTCTCATCAGTATGTATCAGCATATGAAGTTTGACACTAATTTAAGAAAAGTGAGGTCAAGGTCAAAGGAAAGGTCAAGGTCAAAAAATGTTGATGCAGTTGCATAGCTCTCATTAGTATGTATCAGCATATGAAGTTTGCTAAAAATATCTTGAATGGTTTCATTAAAACTGAGCTAAACACTAATTCAAGAAAAGTGAGGTCAAGGTCAAAAGAAAGGTCAAGGTCAAACAAGAGGCCCAAGGGCCTTAACGGTCACCTGAGTATAATACAACAATTTGGAGGATCCATAGAGTATAAAATGAACTGAAAGGTGAAGCTTTGTTGCCCAAAAGCAAGAAAAATACTAGGGTGATCAGGATCAACAAAATAATTAATCTAGTATTCATTGATAGTTTATGAATTAGGTTCTAATCTGTTCCCCATTTATCACTATCACTATACAGTGTATTAAAATCTATCAGTGCTTCTGTACTATTTTAATTTCTTGTTGAAACCTCTTACATTGGCCTCTCTTGGTCTTTGATGAACATTTAATAAGACAAGTTATTTTTGTTCCATTTTTATTTATTTATTACTTATAAGTCTATCTGATCCTTAAAAGTATGAAAATACTTTTTGTATTATACAATAAAAATTCTTGCTTAATTCTCTTATTCTATTAACCTTTCAAGTACATTGTTTACAGTGATTAATTATCAAAAGTAAATGGCAAAGGGGAATAACTCCTCTCAGTAGAATACAAATTAATAGAGATCTGGCCAGGACCAGAACACTTGAACAAATGATCCAGATGTTCAAAAATCTGGTAAAAATACCCTTCCTTATTAAAACTTTTAATCTTTTTGCCTCTGATATGCCCAAGTGCAGAGAAAATTTTTAAAGAAATAATGCATTTTTACTTCAGATTCACTATATTATCAATAGAGCCCCCCCCCCCCTCCCCCCTCCACCAAGAAACACTAGAGTCTCTCACCCTGGGACCAGAAGTTTGCTCATCACAAGTAATCACTTTGTTTATCTGCTTAACACTAAGGAGCAGACAGGATTATTTAATAGAATTAATGCATTTTCACTATATTTATCAAGAGCCCCACCCTTACACCAGCACATCTGACCCGGGTCATGCAATTCACTACTCTGGAAGAAGCACTCTTGCTCATCATAACTATATACTTAGCTTCTTTGCTTTTTAACCAGAAGCAGAAAAGAATATTTTCAAAGAAATTGTGCTTTTTCACTATATAATCAATAGAGCCCCCCCCCCCCCCCCCCAAACCTTTTCACTAGAACCCTTGACCCTGGGGCCATGAAATTCACAATTTTGGAAGAGGCATCCTTGTGTATCATAACAATGTATTTAGTTTGTTTAAATAGTACCCAGGGGCAGAGAAGAAGATTTTCAAAGAAAAAATTCACCTTCACTATAGGATCTATAATAGCCCCACCCTAGAACCAGAACCCCTGTCCCTGGGGCCATGAATTTCACAATTTTGGAAGAGGCATCATTGCTTATCATAACAATGTACTTAGTTTGTTTCAAAAATACCCAGGAGCAGAGAAGAAGATTTTTAAAGCATTAATGCATTTTCACTATATAATAAATAGAGCCCGGGCCCTAACATCAGAACCCCTGATCCAAGGGTCATGAAAATCACTATTTTGGAAGATTCACCCTTCCTAATATCATAACTATGTATTTAATTAGTTTCAATTATACCCAGGAGAAGAGAAGAAGATTTTCAAAGAAATAATGCACTTTCAGTATATGATCTATATAGCCCCACCCTAGCACCAGAACCCCTAACCCTGGGGCCATGAATTTCACAATTTTGGTAGAGTCCCCTTGCTTATCATAACTATGTATTTAATTTGTTTCAATAATACCCAGGAGTAGAGAACAAGATTTTCAAAGAAATAATGCACTTTCACTATATGATCTATATAGCCCCGCCCTAGCACCAGAACCCCTGACCCTGGGGCCATGAATTTCACAATTTTGGTAGAGTCACCCTTGCTTATCATAACTATGTATTCAATTTGATTCAATAATACCCAGGAGTAGAGAAGAAGATTTTCAAAGAAATAATGCACTTTCACTATATGATCTATATAGCCCCCCCCCCCCCCCCCCCCCAGCACCAGAAACCTTTACCCTGGGGCCATGAATTTCACAATTTCGGTAGAGTCACTCTTGCTTAACATAATTATGTATTTAATTTGTTTAAATAATGCCAAGGAGTAGAGAAGAAGATTTTCAAAGAAATAATGCATGTTCACTATATGATCTATATAACCCCACCCTTGCACCAGAACCCCTAACCCTGGGGCCATGAATTTCACAATTTTGGTAGAGTCACCCTTGCTTATCATAACTATGTATTCAATTTGTTCCAATAATACCCAGGAGTAGAGAAGAAGATTTTCAAAGAAATAATGCACTTTCACTATATGATCTATATAGCACCCCCCCCCCCTCCCCCTAGCACCAGAACCCCTGACCCTGGGGCTATGAATTTCACAATTTTGGTAGAGTCACTCTTGCTTAACATAACTATGTATTTAATTTGTTTCAATAATACCCAGGAGTAGAGAAGAAGATTTTCAAAGAAATAATGCACTTTCACTATATGATCTATATAACCCCACCCTAGCACCAGAACCCCTGACCCTGGGGCCATGAATTTCACAATTTTGGTAGAGGGCTCAATGCTTATTACAATCATGCAAACAGTTTGACTGCTTGATGTCCAGGAGTAAAGAAGAAGATTTTTAAAGATTGCATTAATTTTGGTGGTTTTAGCCCCACCCCTCAGGCCCCAGGGGGGCAGGGACCATGATATTCACAAATTTTGTTCCCCTTCACACATAGATGCCATATGCTAAAATTGGTTGAAATTGGTTCAGCGGTTTCAGAGAAAAAGCTGAAAATGTTCAAATGTTAACACACGACGCACGACGGACGACGACGGACGAAAATAGATAGCAATAGGTCACCTGAGTGACTCAGGTGACCTAAAAAATGTTGATGCAGTTGAATAGCTTACATCAGTATGTATCAACATATGAAGTTTGATTACACTATCTTGAATGGTATCTTTAAAACTGAGCTAAACACTAATTTAAGAAAAGTGAGGTCAAGGTCAAAGGAAAGGTCAAGGTCAAAAAATGTTGATGCAGTTGCATAGCTCTCATCAATATCTATCAGCATATGAAGTTTGATAAAAATATCTTGGATAGTTTCTTTGAAACTGAGCTTTGAACAGAGCTAAACGCAAAGTGTGACGGAAGGACAGACGGAAGGACAGAAGGACGGAAGACGGACATGACAAACACTATATGCCCCGGCCATATTCATGGCGGGGCATAAAAACCTTTCAGATTCAACATACAGACATCTTTTCACCAGAAGATTTCAACTTCTGCAAGCTTGTGAGATCAAATATAATCCTCTGCTCATGATGCAATCAGATCCTTGCTACGTGTTATTAGCAGCAGCTGCAGGTAATGATGTTATACTTACCGTCTACAGACAACATGGCAGTGCCCCGTCCACTGGGAGCTGACACGGTATAAGATATATAATCCTTGTCTGGCATGACCATTCCCTGAGCAGAGGCGTTAACATTCATAGCCGGAGTGTTAGATGGTTGGGGCTTCTTTGGGATATCCGGCTATGTATTAATATTACATAAAAACATCAATAAATCATGGAAAATTTAATTTCATTTATCTATTGCTATAGATTATGGACCTAATATAATTTATATTCAATAGAATTTCAATACCTACACTACTCATAACTTTAAAAAATGCTGTTAATACTGAATGAGAAATCTTATGCTACAATATACAACCAAGGAAAAAAAAATATTTGCATTCAATTTTTTAAAGGAATATACAGTTGAACTTTGGTATCTCTAACACCTATATCTTAAATACCATGGATATGTCGAAGTGATTGGGAAGTCCTAACTTAAGTAATTTCTTAATAAGTATTTTACCCTTAAGCGTGATATCTTGAACCCTCAGATATCTCAGAGTTTTTTGTAGGTCCCATTGAGTTTGAGATCATGAAGTTTAACTGTATATTTAATCATTAGCCAAACTTACAATTACAGGTTTCCTGGGATAAGATGGCTGCCTCTGAGGAAGAATTCCTGCAGGTGTGTCCACCTTAATGGAGAAGTGGAGATAAAATCAACTTTAAAGATAATCAGAGAATTTCACAGCTAATAAAACTTAAAAAAAATCAGTAATATTCTATTCTCTTTAGAGAAGTGGACAGGCTTTCGCCTAAATCCACAAATGTAGGCAAAAGCCTGTCCACTTCTCTAAAGAGAATAAGTAATATTTCTCCTTTACAGGATATTGCTCTAGTTACCAGGGATCTTGTATTTACACATCATACATTTATCTTTCTATCATAATTTATCTTGCACTGGCTTTCATGTTTGCAATGAATATGACAAAATTTTGATTTAAATTTTGTTCACCTGCACTGCAGATTTAACTAGGTCAATTCTGTAATTGTCAAAGTGACACCAACGAATGCAAAAATAAATATAACTGATCCCGCCTACATTGAAGAAAAAAGTTTATTGTAAGAAATATCATAGCAGTCCCTTGATCATCTCATCAACCAGTCCAACTTCAATTATTTTATGGACCACTTAGTAAAACATTTCAATCATCAAACTAGAAATATGTCCATAGGACATGAATGCCCCGCCAAGGGTATATTAGTAATGCAACATGAAAAGTTGTATTAGTGTATGAAATATGATGAGAATATCTTGAACAGTTTCTTTAAAATTGAAATCTAAAAAGTTGGATATAGATGATAAATTCTCACCAAATTATGTATAAATGCATAAGCTTACATAAATACATCTTAAACAAATGCAAAAACTAAAACTCTTTAAAACTAAGCAAAATGCAAATTTAAGAAAAGTGAGGTCAAGGTCACAGAAAAGTTCAAGATCAAACATTTTTGATGCAGTTGAATAGTTCTCACAAATACATATCAGTATATTAAGTTTGATAAAAATATTTTGAATGCTTTATTTAAAACTGAGCTAAACACTAATTTAAAATAAATGAAGTTAAGGTCAAAGGAAAGGTCAAGGTCAAAATTTTTTTATGCATTTGAAAAGCTTACATCAGTATGTATTTGCCTATGAAGTTTGATAAAAATATTATGAATGGTTTCTTTAAAACTGAATTAAACACAAATTGATAAAAGTGAGGTCAAGGTCAAAGGAAAGGTCAAGTTCAAATAATGTTGCAGTTGAATAGCTCTCATCAGTATGTATCAGCATATAAAGTTTGATAATACTATCGTGAATGGTTTCTTTAAAACTGAGCTAAACACTAATTTAAGAAAAGTGAGGTCAAGGTCAAAGGAAAGGTCAAGGTCAAAAAATGTTGATGCAGTTCAAAGCTCGCATCAGTATGTATCAGCATATGAAGTTTGATTACACTATCTTGAATGGTATCTTTAAAACTGAGCTAAACACTAATTTAGGAAAAGTGAGGTCAAGGTCAAAGGAAAGGTAAAAAAAATGTTGATACAGTTGAATAGCTCTCATCAGTATGTATCAGCATATGAAGTTTGATTACACAATCTTGAATGGTATCTTTAAAATTGAGCTAAAAACTAATTCAGGAAAAGTGAGGTAAAGGTCAAAGGAAATGTCAAGGTCAAAAAATGTTGATGCAGTTGCATAGCTCTCATCAATATCTATCAGCATATGAAATTTGATGAAGATATCTTTGATAGTTTCTTTGAAACTGAGCTTTGAACTAAGCTAAACACAAAGTGTGACGGAAGGACAGATGGATGGATGGAAGGAAAGAAGGACAGAAGACGGACATGACAAACACTATATGCTCCAGAAATATCTGAATTTTTTTTTAAACTAAGCAAAATGCAAATTAAAAAAAGTGAGGTCAAGGTCACAGAAAGCCTAAGGCTAAAAGATTTCATGCAGTTGAATAGCCCTCACTAATAAGTATCAGCATATTAAGTTTGATAAACATATCTTGAATGGTTTATTTAAAACTGAGGTAAACACTGATTTAAGAAAGTGAGGTCAAGGTGAAAAAATGTTGATGCAGTTGATAGCTCTTATCAGTATGTATTAGCATATGAAGTTTGATGACAATATCTTGAATTCTTTATTTAAATTGAGCTGAACATTATCTATAAGAACACCTCATGGCGGGGCATAAAAATGCTTGAAAACTATAAAAATTGACTCATAAAGTTTGAATATTAATACAGTATCAACTGCTACAGAGACTTACAGCGTAACTGACTGCAGCGTGATGGAGGGAGGCAGCTTGTCTCTGTAGAGTCTGTCTGATGTAACTCTCATCCTTCAGGGCATGTAAACTGTCAAAACAAAACACAGCAGTCAACAACCTTCATCTGCATACTATTACGATCCAGAAGAAATATGTGAATCATGCTTAAAAAAACAACAACATAATAAAGCTGTGACATCCGGTGTATAATCATGCATTATACAGCTCATTTTCACAAATTGATATGTGTCAACTTTATCAGTACTGATGATGGATGTATCATATATGAATGACATCATGGTGAGAATATAGCACCCCCCCTCCAAAAAAAAAAAAAAAGTAACAGTGATATATGTATACCAATAACATAACTTACATTTTTAACTGTTTATCTTTGCACATTACTGCCAAAATATGAAGTAACAATTTATGAACAGAATCTTTTTCATACCTTTGCTGTAAAATTGCAAACTTCTTCTCCCATGTGCGATGTATCCTTTCAATTTCTTTTTTAAGTCTTTCAAAGGAAATTCAATAAATTTTTATACATGTTAAAGCATATTTTTATTTAATGACTACTTGTGGGAACTGTGTCAATAATCAGTTTTTTTCATGTCATCTAATTTATTAAAAAATTATATAACACATGAACTAAGTGATAATAATGTCTAAAAGAAACTTAATACATTGACAAAAATACTGATTTAACTGATGATACTATACTACATTTAACATAAATGAATTGTTTACATTACAATATAGCTTATAGATAAAATATGAATTCAAGCATTAGTAGAGTTGCCCCTTTATAGATCTCACATGTACCTTAAAGATGACCTAAATTAAGATTTATACTGTTTGACATTTTTTCATTGATTCCAATTCCTACCTTGCTATTTCATCTCTGAGCTTCTGTTCCAGTCTTTTATATTTCTCAACATCCACTTCTTCATGGGTTTTCACAGAGTTCTTTTTTCTCTCCTAATAATCAGTATTAATCAATTTGCATATCATCTACATGTAATAAATTAAAAAAATCATCCAAGGACTCAACTTTATTGTAAGTACACTGCATTGCCTTATAGTCCATATACTACATACTAGGGAGGGCAATTTGTAACTGGTTAACCAATTACTCATTTGGAACATCGGTTAGAAAAATCTGTAATCCATTAATCAAAAAAAAATTTAAAATACATGTAAATTTGAACACAAGTTTCTTAAAATTAATTTTTGAACAAGAGGCCCATAGGCCACAATGCTCACCAGAGTCAGCCATACCCTACCCCCAGGTGTCATGTTTTGAACAAAACTGAATCTAAACTATCTGAGGATGATTCAATATTCATATGACTACCATAATCATGGCTTTGCTGTTCTTGAAAACAGAATTTTAAAGATGTCTGCCACCCTTCCCGGGAGGAGGGGGTTGGGGGGGTTGGGGGAGTTGGGGTTGGGAGGTTGGTTCATGATTTGAACAAACTTGAATCTACACTACCTGGGGATGCTTCCATATCAATATGACTAATCAAGGCTTTGTTGTTCTTGAGAGATATTTAAAGATTTTTCTTATATACTTTAAACCCCCATTGTTGCCCAAAATTACCCAAGGGGTCATGATTTTAACTCAAATCTACACTACCTGAGGATGCTTCCATATCAATATGTGTTGTTCTTAAGAAAAAGACTTTCAAAGATTTTTTCTACATATTCTATGCAAAACTGATCCCCCATTGTGGCCCCAAATTACCCCCTGGGGTCATGATTTGAACAAACTTGAATCTACATTACCTGAAGATGCTTCCATTTCAGTATGTTTTTGTTCTTCAGAAAAAGATTTTTAAAGATATTTCCTATATATTCCTATGTAAAACTTTGATCCCCCGTTGTGGCCCCACCCTTCCCCCAAGGGTCATGATTTGAACAAACTTAAATCTACACTATCTGAGGATGCTTCCATATTAATATGACTAATCATGGTTTCGTTGTTCTTTTAAAAAAATTTCCTATATATTCCTATGTAAAATTTGATCACCCATTGTGGCCCCACCCTACCCCCAGGGGTAATGATCTAAACAAACTTGAATTTATACTCCCTGACTATGATTCCATATCAATATGTCTAATTGTGGCCTTGTTGTTCTTGAGATCAAGATTTTTAAAGATTTTTTCCTATGTTAAAATTTAATCATCTATTGTGGCACCACCCTACACTCAGGAGCAATGATTTGAATAAACTTGAATTTACATTATGCTAGAAAGCTTTCAGATAAGTTTCTCCTTTTCTGGCCTAGTGGATTTTGAGAAGATCTATATATAATTATATTTTAAAATACTGTAAATGTACTTTGTTCCAACGGGACATAATTCCATAGAATCACAATTTCGGTTTAATCCACCGGTAGAAAATTATGCCAATTTCTTGGATTGTCATTATATGTCCTTTATGCATTTTAAGTATACTGTGAAAAATTTTCGCAGAAAATGGTGACTTTGTACATAGCGTGAATTAATACCACACGGGAAACACGATGTCTACAGTAACCCCAACCTACAATTGCCTTTTCTGGATTATCTCCCCTTGAAAAGGGACATGGCCCTTTATTTGAGCAAACTTGAATCCCCTTACCTAAAGAATATTTTGTGCCAAGTTTGGTTGAAATTGGCTCATTGAATCTGAAGAAGGGGATAAAAATATGAAAAGTTTACGAAGTATATGCCCACAAGCTGCCACGACAGTAAACAGGCAAATTTTGATCAAAAACACTCACTTGAACCTTTGAGCTCAGGTGAGCTAAAAAAGAAAATAGGTTTAGGAAAGTCAAGCAGATAGAAGTAATACCTTCAACTGAAAATAAGATGTAATAGATTTTTGTGGACAATTGACAAGTAAAGACAGATTTAGAGGACTAAGTACAAGATAAATGTGTGCACTTTTGATTTGAGGAGCCACTTCCAGTGCCAGGACAACAAGAGCCTTTCCCACTGCAAATGTGTCAAACTTGACCACCGGTCAACTCACACTTTTGTGATACTGTGTAAAACTTGGGGCCTAAATTATACAATAAAAAGTATCAAATAGGAACTTAATTGATATCTCTTAACATGTAAAATCATATCTAGCTCAACCTTTAATATCAATCTGAAATAATCCTACATTTGATTTCCTCTTAACCAGTGTGCGTCTTGCTGATGTGGTCATCTTTTACAGATAATATACAGCCACAACAAAGTACTCTAAAACTACTGATCAATGCTAGTCCTGGCATCAACCATGCAGACAATGCAGGAAATACTGCTGACCACTGACCATAACAAACTATACAGTAATGTGTAAAGTTTTTAAAGTTTACATGCTCAGTTTTAACTCACCTGCATTAACTCCTGTTCCAGAAGTTTCTTTTGATCCATCAGTAACTTCAGTTTGCTACTCTCAGCATCCTTTAATGACTTGGCTTCCTCTTGTCTGGCATTTTCTGCCTATAGTGAATGGACACAAAAAAAATGTATATTCTGTATAAATTACCTAGACATTCCTTCAAAATATTTGCAAATAAGAAGTTAAATCCCCCCATCTTTCATCAAAAATAGATAAATGAACAGACGATGTGCATGATTGTTTTTCTGGCATATCTTGAAGAGAAAGGTTCCTTACATGTATTTGATATTAAAGTCTTTTTTATTGCATTTCCTGCATAAAAATAAATGCCGATTTGGAAATACTTATACCCTACATAATAGCTGCACATGAAATTTGCTGCAATTTGCATAAAAAAAAAAAATTTTTTTTTTTACTTTATAAACCTATACATTGTACTTAAGTTACTATAAATGAAGAGTCAAATGAATCTAAAAAGGGAATTAATTTGTTACAATGATCAGTATTTTGAGGAGCTGACTTAATTAACTCCCCTTACCTCCTCTTTGGCTCTTCTGATTTGTTCCTCCATCATCCTCTGCATTTCCTGTTTCTGTTTAGCTAACTATAGACAATAGATACATCAGTAGTCTTCTGAGATTGATAAATCAAACAATTAAAGATACTGTATCTTTTAAGGGAAAAAGCAGAAAAAAATTATCAATGCATAGAAAATATTGAACATCCATTACTTATCATAATCTTAGTCATAATCTGCTCAATGCCACTTTTACTTTTCATTTATTTCTTATCCCTTTAATTAATTAAAACAAGATCATAATGTATTAATTAATACACAGCAATTTATTTTTTCTTAAAACTACTCTCTCTCTCTCTCCCAATCTTTCTCTCTCTCTCTCTTATGTAGTCATGAATAATTTTCCTTTTTTTCATCGTCTTAAATATTCAGCCTCAGTGTAATAATGTAAAATCTTGGAGATTAATCATATTATAGATAAAAAAAGGATCTGTCATATAAAGTGAGATAATGCAATTCTGCAGATCTTCAAATGGCAATTACATGTAACACAAACAAGCAGTGAATGTCTAGTTGAATTTCAGTTGAAAATAACTTAATTTGCAAGTTCAGTATATGTGGTGTTTCTCTCTGTTCATTCTTTTAAGTTCAGCAGAATGATTGTGTGCCAATTAAGTGCATGAGTGGGAAAGAAAAGCTTTTGAAAAATCATAAATGAAAAACAAGGATACATCTTGATGCTTTAAAAGAGGCAATTTTTTTTTTGTAACATGCTTGTGCTCAGGAGATAGGGTCTGTTGTTGAATATGAGTTGAATGTTAGTTAATCAACATGCAATTATTTTGACATAGTAAGCTAAGTGTTAGTTTCTTTTCTGTAAAGAAAGGGTATTTTTCAAGCATTAAATTAATGTGCTAATGCTGCAAGTCTGAGACTGAACTTATACATGAACTGCATGCTGTTCTTAGAAAGCTACAATATTTAAATTTTCTAATTTATTTGGGGGAAGGGAGTATCACAATTAAAAAGAACACTATATTGTTTGTTATTTCTTGGTTATTATATTTAATGAGGGAAGCTGTGAGTGCATATTGTATAGTTAGTGTCACAATCCTGATTATATAATGCAGAAACTTACATCTGAGTTCTGTAATGTACAAATCATAAACATATAAATAACTAACAAACAATGCTTGATTCATAACAACAAACTGCAAACAATAACCCAACACACACTATAAAGGCATAGATATAATTGTCTATGATTTACATCTGTTAACAGACTTAAGCACTTGTGGGGGCTCTGCAAAATATCTTGAAAACAGCTGTGCTTGATTTGATCATTATGTACAACTTAATTTTTAAACCAAGTTTTTTAAAAGTGATTAGCTCATGTGAAATTTGGCTTATCTTAATACTGTACATAGGTTTAAAAGGAATTACATATTATCTACTATATATATTTAGTAAATGAAAATGAAAGTCTATACATTGCTTATAAGGATAAATTATGTTAAAACATCCAGCAAACTGATTGGTTAGATTTTAAGGTTAACGTTACATATAATTTTTTTTTTACCTTTGCACTGTGCATTATTATAAATAAACTTCCAATTTTGGTTGTTACATGTATTACTATGCAAAGTAATCTGTCAGCGAATTAATTAAGAGCTGTCAGAAAGAATTGTTACATAAACATGATAAAAGAGTAGTATACAAGCTAAAATATCATCTAGATTCTGATAAAAAAAAAAAAATGAATTCTGTCAAGCAACTCTTACTGGACTGAGGATTCTTCAAGAATTCCATTTAAATTATATTGCAACCAAAAAAAAAAAAAAACTGCACACAACCTATGATTATTTTCTTGCAAAACCAACAAATAAAATTGTGCGTTCTGAATGAGTTTGTAAATATTACCAGAGCCTCTGCCTGTAAGTAAACAATAACAAACATGGTCATCACAACATCAATAAGATTTTTGTGATAAAGAAATACAACACCATTACATTATGTAATACAAAATCAATAATTGTCTAAAATACCGTAAATCATTTAGGAAAATACATTGATACACTATTCATTTATAAACACTCGCATTTAATAATTTCTTGAGGTTCAACTACAGTAAATTTTATAATGTTTCAAACTCAATCTGTCTTTTTTTGCTACCTTATAATTAGTTTTTTTTATAATCATGTGTTGCTAATAAATGAAGAGGTTTATATATATTAACATTTCTAACTTACAAATACATGTGTAATATAAAGGAGATAGAAATTGAAAGGATTTAAAATTTCATATGGCAAAATTTAAAAAGTCACATGGATTTTTAAGTACACAATCCTGTGGTACTCTGGACATGTTAGATTTCAGAGTGCAGAAAACTGGGGAATGTTAAAAGAAATAGAAATGTAAACAGGGGCAAGCAAGTAAAAAATAGTATGAAATGAAAGACAATTTGAGAGAAGTTAAAATATTATACATGAAAAAGTGGTTGGGACTTTCAAATTGCTATGACATGCATTATTCAAGGTATTAATTTGATTGAATACCCAGGGGCAGAGAAGAAGATTTTCAAAGAAATAATGCATTTTCACTATATAAACAACACAGTCCTACCCTTACACTAGAACCCCTGATGCAGGGGCATGAAATTTGCAATTTGAGAGGCACCCTTATTCATCATAACTTTTCTTTTAATTTGTTTGCTTAATACCCAGGCACAGAGAGGAAGACGATGCATTTAATTTCACTATATAATCAATACAGCCCTACCGTAACAGCAGAATCCTTGACCCACAGGCCATGAAATTCATAATTTTGGAAGAGTCAACTTTGTTCAACATAACTATGAACTTAATTTGTTTGCTACATGAGGTAAACTTTTCTGGGTAGTTATAAATAAAACCCTACTGAGTATGTTAAGAACTGTAAGTAGGTAAACATAATAATACACATGATGAAAGTGGGAATTGACAGTTATTGTAAGGTCATTTTGACAGAAACACAGTATATTAGAGATAAGAGTAAAAGGATTGTAGAATAGTACAGTTACTGTAATATAATTGGGAATAAATACAGTGAAATTAAGAAATGTGACAGTTACCTCCAATGCCATCTACAATAAGGTCATTTATACAGTTTACATTTAAGTAGAACTTTACCATAACGAGCATTTCTCATCAGATTTTATGTTTTAAGTGTATGCATTACAGAATATTAAGCAATTACCATTTTATCAAAATAAGGGGAAAAACAATTAAGAAGGAAAAAAACCAGTGAATGAACTAACTGACACACATGTTCAACACAACCAAACTCCCAATAATCCAAGAATTTCCTGTAAATATTAAATTAAACTATAAAGATAGGGCAATGATAAAACGATCTAACCTGAGATTTTGAAGACTGCTTCTCTTTTTCAGCAAGTTTTTTGGTTTCTTCTGCTTCATATTTTAGCTGGGAATAAATTAATGAAATTCTAAATAAACGACATCATTGGATATAACTAAAAATGTTATGAAATATGTGGAGTGATGAAATAAACTATCATGTCAACTTGTCCCACAGAATCCTAACCAATTGCTTAAACTGTTCAAGTAAACTTCAATATGTATTGCTTTATAAATGTGAGAAGCATTTCAGGAAGCACTATGCTTTTAATTATGAATTCCAATCATTTTTACTGCATCACCTTCAGGATTCCAAATACATTCTCTCAATTAGGAACAGAGCACAGGAAGAAATGATCAAGACATAAGTTTTTATTCAAAAATATTGTTATACTGTATTGTTAATGTCATAAATTGGCAGAAAAGAAAACATGCACATTTATAAGCTAAAAGTGAACAATTGAAAAGTGACTACATGAGAAGCCACTGCAATGTACCAATCCTTGAGTTGACTTAATCGCCACCAACTGAAAGACTTGAATCAGTGGTCATTCAGTGACCATTCTGAGAACTGAAAGCTATCATTTTAGTCTTAGCATTCTTTATAAATAGTTACATGTACAGAATCAGAAGAGGAAACTTACTTTTGACAGCATATTTTAACAAATTCTTATAAGGACACTCATCATGCCTAATTATTACATTTACCAATGTAAAAAGGCAAAAGCTTTTTCTTCTCAATGGAGACAAGTTTATAATAGCACCTTCTCATCCCCTGTTCACTCATTAAAAATGAGGGGACGGGACAAGTAGTTTTCTCTTACAACCTATAAGTTATTTACCTGATCCACCATGATTCTTTCCTTCTCCAAGTTGGAATTTAACTGACTGATTTGTTCCACTACAATGTTAAATAATATCTGTGAGTTATTATTTAAATACTGCAGATGTAATGTGTTCTCAAAGAATAAATTTGTTTGTACTGACCAGGTAACTTAAAGGCTTAGTTGAGATAATTTAAAAAAAAATAAAAGTTAAAAAAAAATGGAGAAAATTAAGACCCAATATGAAATATACTTTCACATTGATATTTTCATCACCTCTGATCACTTAAAAAAACTTTATTTAAATATTTTAGATAAATTTAATAATAACAGTTTTCCAAAAGAAATCTTGTTTATCTTTGCATAAAATATGCCAGATAATGGACATTTAGCAAAGTTAGAGTTGTCTCTCTTGGTCAATGAACCTCAATTTTATCTGTCCTAATTTCATTGGTAACTTATAAACTTACTTAGGTTAACATTCTCGTTTTCCTTTATATCTAGGGCCTCCTCGAGGCGATCCACCCTCTTATGTAAACCATCACACTCCTCCTTCAGGGCCTCAAACTCCTCATTAACACTGGGAGATTTAGATTTCACAGAGAGCTCCTCAACCTATCAACATATAACACAACTCTTAAGCTTAGCTCATGTACAAGGTATATACTTACATTGTGCCTTAAAGCACATTGATCATATTGCAAAAACACAGTAATTATTATTTTTACTTTTAAGAAGATATGTTTAGTTCAGCAACTAATCAAAGCTTTGCTACAAAATTATTTTAAAATCATAAAAATATTTATAATATAATGGACAAAATTAACAAAGCTGAACAAAAATCTCCCTGTTCCAAGTACCACACACCTGTATACACTCTCACAGCAAATCTACATCTACAATCTGACATTAAGCTAAAGTTACATATATAAAGAAATATTCAAATATGTAATTACAATCAGCATTTCACATACTTGTACTGGTGTAAAAGACACATCACAAAGTATACATTCAGCAGAAACACATGGTCATTGCACACTCTATTATCATTTATAAGTAAAAAGATATTTGACTCTCCCTTTACAAAGTGCTTCAGTGGTGCTTCAATGAAATTTAAATTTACTTGATCATAAAGTTGAAATTGAAAGGTTTGTGTTGCTTTAGTACTAAGAGTGGCCGCTTTCATCTCTGTTTTAAAATTGTCTCGCTGAAAATTAATTAATTTTACAACAGAATCAGAATAAAATGCATACAAGTATTGACTGAGCCTTCTAGACCAAGGATCTTTCAGTTAGGTTAGACTAATGTTACAGACAGGTTGTTATAAAATTTTCAGTTTTATGGAGACCAACATTTCATAACACTGTGGAAGGAATAAACTTTACATGTTCAATAAAAATGGCTGGAAACTGCATGCATATATTGTGCTAAAATTAATCACTGACAATCTAACATTAATTTCTGTACTAATAATATGGATCTGTATTTCAAGGTCATTAATAATAATAATTTTACTTGGAGAATTACAGACATGTCAGTGACATCTACTAGCAATTGTTAGAAAGCTGCACAAAAATTATTAGATGTTTATAGCGTACATTTACATCATACTAAAAAAATAGGACAAGGCACAAGTATTTTGCATCAGTTACAGGTCACAAGATTTATAATGACATATATTATACAGTTGTTAGATTTGTCATACAGTCATGGAAAATACTTATCATCACACTGTACACATACCACAGGGGGCATCTTGTTGGCTTGTTTTGGGGGTGGCTTGGAAGGAGGAGCAGGAGGAGGGGGAGGGGGAGGGGAGGGAGATTTAGGTTTGGGGGGAGGGGGTTCTTTGGTGGGTGATGGCTCCTTCTTTTTCTTCTTTTCCTGTATCATCAGAATTAGTAAAGTGAAAGAACAAACAGAAAGTGATGTGGGTCATTCAGACATGCATATAAGGATGACATTTCTGACAAACACATTAAAGTAATTTAATTATATTTGCAGAAGGAGAAAAGAAAGGAAAAGTATTGCCTTCATTCAAAAAGAACAGTTGTTTTTAGATATATATTTAAAAAACCTGATTTATATATTGGTAATAAGGACACTAGCATATATCAATGCTGAATTTATTCAAAAATAATGTATTATTGATACAATGTATAGATATTTAAATATTATTAAAAAAGAGATTAAAATATAGGTACATGTATATCTGTTAGAAAGATATGGTATATCTGTCAGAAAGATATGACAATACAAATTGTCAATTAAAGATAAGTGCATGACTTTGTTTGCATGTTTAATAAAGATGGTATCAAGTCAGAGAAAATAAACATTCAGTATTTCATGCAAATATGCACATTCTTAGGTTATGTGAGCATGAATGTACACAACATAACAAAAATAAAAAGTACATTTTCTGGAAAGTATAGAAGTGTACACTGAATTAGTTAGAAATATTGTTAATCCACCCTCAACATAGTTTATTACCAGTGAAGGGACCGGGGAGGCAGCTGTTGTATTGGACGGCCGATCAGAGGAAATATCCGGCTAATCAAAAATAAAGCAGTACGTACTATACACAAACTGGCTCTGCACTTCATAACAAAGCATTTACTGGCTGTATGCTAGTTCTTATAAGTAAAAAGGAATGCATGACTATGGACATTTTGGAAAATAATCAAAAAGACAAAATTTGAAACTATAGAGTGGTCTTTATTTTCTAAACTATTTCTGTATAATCAAGGAATATTTACGAGAGATTACATGTCCTTTTAGTTTCTTTAAATATTAACTTATTGTAACTTTTTTAAAAATCTAAATACAAAAACATAACATAAACACCTGATCTAGCAAAACCTATAAGTAAATTTAATAATACGGTAGCATGAAAGCTCTCTACTAAAGTCATAGGTGCTGAAAGCTCCTAATACTGAAGCATATATATTGTTCTATAATGAAATAATTCTAACTGCGTAAAACAGAAACAAAATTATTTTTTTAAAAAATCCTTGAAAGAAAATTCTTTTAATTATGTAAACTTATATCTAAGTTAAACAAACTTTGTCCAAGATATAAATGCAAGGACATGCACCTTTTAACTAGGAATACTGATTTGTCTTTAATAAATGGGATTCAACTTCATGTGAAAACAAGAATGCTTATGTATATACATCTCTTGTCAGTTCCTATATCACTTTAATGTATGAAAGGTAAGAGTGAGTTGATGAGAAATTAAAATTCTCGTCAAAATTATATTAGCTTTATAGCACATGTGACTTGCAAAATTTATGACTCTATCAATTTGAAAACTAAATGCAATACTATAACATTTAATGAAAAATTGAGTCAATTTAAGTAAAATACTAGAAATGATAATAAAAATTAATAATTATAATCCTGTCATGAACTGTAACTTGAAACTGATTTTCCACAAAAATTACAAAATAACTTTGCATGAAGCAACTGTGTATCAACTGTACACAATTTCCTTTAGCAGGTATATTTACTTGTATAAAAACACATACACTTTCTACTTCACTATTGCGCCTCTGTTGGAACTGTGCCAGCTGCATCTTCAACATCTGTATGACTGTTTCATTACGCTGAATGGTGGCCTGCATCTCTTTGTATTTCTCGTCATGTTTACCCTGGCCTTCTTCCTGCTTTTTTCTCTCTTTCTTGATCTTTGACTCCAAGTTTTTCTATATTAAAAATTAAAATTTGAACTAGATTTCCTAGAAATGCAGAACTTATGACATAAGGATAAAAATTCTGCTTGTAATGGTTGTTTTATCTTACATTGTACAGAACAGCGACTCTAGCAATGGCGTCTGACAACTGCTGTCTGAAGGCTCGTCTCACTGTAGACACTCTCTATAACAGATCAGATCTCTCTGTTATTACATGCAATGGCTATAAACTAAAACATTATTGTCATGACTTTTCAGTGAATATATGAAATCTGCTAACAGTAAATGTGAACAATTCAAGTCAACTCACATCTTCATGAATTCTCTCCAGTTCTTTCACTTTTTCATTTATTCTTACGTATCTGTAAGGAAAGAAAAAAAGCAAGGACATCATATTTATAACTAAAAGTCCATTCCTTATATGGTTTTTCTATTATATTTGTAAGTAATTGAAAATAATACCATTCAGCTTTGATGTTTGAACCAGTACTATTATGACATGCATATGATCAACAATTTTCAGTATAAATATCACCGTAAACACTTGTACTTGGATTGTATGCCTTGTGTAGGGATATATAGCTTTATCCCATGTTTACCCCTTTATCCCGTGGATATGACTCATTGGATAATTTTTTCATAATCCACAGTGAAGTGCAGTTGTGACGTCACAATGGTTTTTGCGTTAGCGTGATGAAGTAAAATAAAGTGGAGTCCTATATAAAACAGTGTAAAACATTGGTTGTGAAGTATTAAACATGGGATAAAAAGAATCTCCCATGATTTGTAGTTGGATATGACTTTTATCCAACTCGTTGTGTGTTTTTATCCCCTCGCCAAGGCTCGGGGATAAAAAACACACAACTCGTTGGATAAAAATCATATCCAACTACAAATCATGGGAGATCCTATATTTATCATATGTTTACTTCTTGATACAGTGGATATAGCTCATACATGTAGGATATCATTTTTATATCCATAGTAATGTGACGTTACAATGGTTTTTGCATGAATTTGATAAAGTCAGTCATTGGATATACATGTACATGTATAAAAACAGCATACATTTAGGATCTCCCATGGTTTTTGGTTGGATGTGATTTTTCATCATTATGTGTTTTTAATCCCCAAGCCTTGGCGAGGGGAAAAATGCACATAAAGAGTTGGATAAAAAATCATATCCAACCACAAACCATGGGAGATTATTTTTATCACATTTTACACAAAGCTATTTCATGTTTTACATGCAGTTTTATATATGTAAATCCAATATATGTATATAAAACAAGCAAGTCAAAACTGGAGGTGGATTGAGTTAATGATGCGGATGGTGAATAGTTTCTTAAATAGGATCTTTTTTTTCAAAATCTGTGTGAGAGTATGTCAAATATTAAAATTGACAAAGATAACTCTACAGGGCATGTATAATTTTGTGTAAGAATTACGATTTTGCTGAGTTGTGACTACAGAGTCTGTTTGGTACCCTCTCATGTTGTACTGACTGTAACACTTACAATTCCAAGCTTTTTTCTCTCATGTTGTACACTGTAACACTTACAATTCCAAGCTTTTTTCCTGTAGTTTTTTCTCATAGTCTGCCTGCATAACATGCTTAGTCAGATTGATGTCCCGACGAAGATTTGTCACATCCTGAAATAGTTAACAGTGATTATCAATTTAGGTAATAATTATATAATTAATTATTAACTAAAACTTACTTTATATATTTCAGTACCTATGATTAACATTAATGTAATACTCAAAAAGTTAATCATGCATAAACATCATGAAATCAAGTTTTTTTTCTCCTCAAAACAATGCCTTAAATTTACCCAAAGTAGAATGCAGAAAAAAAATATAAACTCAAACTTAAGAAAGCACTTGAAATTTAAAAAAAAGCCAACATTTACCCTTCCTGTTTTGCAGGATAATTCATTGCTTATCATAGTTCAACTGTAAATACAGGTATATGTGGCACAATTTCTCAAACACAACTAAGTACAACACACATTACCTGCAGTGAGATCTGTACTACCTGGGTCATCTCTTTGTGACATTATACCTGTAGTAAGATCTGTAGGACCTGTGTTATCTCTTTGTAATATTATACCTGCAGTAAGATCTGTAGGACATGGGTTGTCTCTTTGTGACATTACCTGTAGTAAGATCTGTAGGACCTCGGTCATGTTTTAGTAACATTACCTGTAGTAAGATCTGTAGGACCTGGGTCATCTCTTTGTGATAATACCTGTAGGACCTGGGTCATCTCTGTGACAATACCTGTAGGACCTTGGTCATCTCTCTGTGACATTACCTGTAGTGAGATCTGTAGGACCTCGGTCATGTTTTAGTAACATTACCTGTAGTAAGATCTGTAGGACCTGGGTCATCTCTTTGAGACATTACCTGTTGGACCTGGGTCATCTCTTTGAAACATTACCTGTATAGGACCTGGGTCATCTCTTTGAAACATTACCTGTAGTAAGATCTGTAGGACCTCGGTCATTTCTTTGAGGTCGACAACCTCTGTGACCTCTGTTTGAGAACATCTGTCCAAAGTGAAGAAGCCCACCTTGTGTTGATCAGCAATATTTGGTCTAAAGAAAGAAGTGCTATCAATAAATATTTACATTTGCAAATATTTTCCTTTATGTAATACTATCTGAACAAGGCATATTTAAGCCTGTATATTTAAGCAGGTTCGTCACATGACCATAAATTCAATGCTAAGCCATTAAGGTATATCGTGTTTTTTATTGTGCAAAATATATCAAGATACAGAGACTTAAAATACCAGTATTTAGTACATTATTTAATTATAAATTTCAGAAATTGTTCATTTATTTGTTCAAACTTTTAAATAGCAATTGCCAGAAGTGTAAAAATGTTGTAAAACAATGACATCCTCAACATCCAAACATGCTTCATTTAAATATATAAAAGAAAATGAAAAAGTCAAGTTACATTTTCACACCATACTTGTTAGAAATATTATGGAAAATCATTCAAAATCATAGTTTAATTAAGAGTAAAGGTATCATAATATCACCGTGACGTTCTTGGGAAAAATTGTGATATATTGCGATACAAAATTTTTGGTGATACCCATCCCTACTTAAGTCTACATGTAGTCTTCACTTAATAAAGGTCTAAATGAAATAGACTAAGTGTAACCCGTACTAATTGAGTACAAAGTATGATATTCTAGATCCACTCAATATCAACAGGATTAGGAAAATATTAATGCTAAAAAAAAAGAGGAAAAATATCAAGCAAAGGTGAAAAAAATAGATATAGTCTAACAAATAAGATCAACTTTATCTCTGGTACATGTAATATTTTAGCAAAATATCTGAGATACACTGTACATATGATCATATTACTTGTAAACTACAATGCATGGCTTCTCTGGCTACCACAAGGTATCATCAAAAGCCTTAGAGTGTTTATTCCAACATCTATACTTGCATCTCACAAATTACACCATACTGATACTTAACATGTATACTGAAAGGAAAAAGAAATGCAGGGTAAACTTTTTAGGTGAAATAAGGTAATATATTTCAGAGGTATTTTCCAGTTATCCTATCTAACATTTAAAATCATCTTTAATAAATATGTAACCAAAATCTCATTTGATTTTCCCCAATAATTCACAAGTTATTGAAACTCATATGACTGTACTCCCCAAAAGTGAAAAATGAAAATTCTCATTATCTCAAATGTCTCCCTCGCTCATCTGTCACAGCCTTGACTCTCCTATGCATGGAGTTCATCAGTGTGTTTATCCGTCTAATAGGGATATTATTCAACCCTTCCACGAAGGTAGCCCTTAGTTGATTGAGACCAGCTTGGACATTTTAAATCCTATCTTCCACGTAGTCCCACAGTTTGATGCGAAAAAGATGGACTTGACGGAGACCAGTCATGTGGATAAATGTGATTGTTTGCGAGAAAATCTTGACAAACCCTGGCAGCATTGGGAGGGGGGTTAACATGTCCCCAAAAAATAGGCAAACGATGCACGCATGCGCGAGTTAGAGGAACACTTACGTAAAGTTGACGAGCTCACAAACCAAAACTGCACTATCAATTTCCTTCAGTTTTGGAGTGAATGTAACGATTATGATAGCCTGCTGTATTAATAGCAGTTTTAGGGTAATGTGATGGTGATTATACAGGTGGCAGGATGAATAGCCCAATCTTGACGTGGCGCTGTTACACGTCAACGTCATCGTCATGGTTGGTTGGAAACCTTTCTACGCCCTCTCTGAGGATGGGTAAGACGTTCTGTTGTGGAAAAATTCACAACAAACTGCACAGAAACCTGTTGTTGCCTTTGTCCTTACTTAGGCAATGCAATAGCCAGACCCCATGGTACTTCCGTCAACCATACCTTGATTTCAAGAAATCGAAATCGACTGTAAATATCGAAAAACGATGTGTATAACTTAAGTGCAGCAAACAGTACTAAGAGATTGTTGAAAAACATGTCGTCATCGATATGCACATGTTTTCGGCTTTTAACCACTTTCCTTATGTGACGTCATACATTTCATGGTTGAGTAGTCCTGAACACTGACTTTAATGCACAGTAACCAAGATATCCCTCTGACCAATTTTCATAATTTTCGGTTATACAGTCAAAAAACTTTCGCATATTATGTTACCCTGTGTTTCTTTTTCCTTTCAGTATATAGTTTTTTTTTTTTTTTTTAGCTATTTCAATAGTTGATATTTTGCTGCTTTTTATGTCTAAATTTCATACTCCACAGAGTGACCAATGCAATGGCAGCAGAAACTGATGGTTACTTATGTATTCCTGAATGTGTACTGTATGATAACATTGGGGTACAGTACAGTCTTAATCATCTTATCTGTGGCTAATTATTATAGTTTTAATGATTTAGATAACTTCTGAAAGATAACATTCATACTGATAAATGATAAAAAATTCTTTGCAAATTACAAAAAATACATGTAAATCAAAATTTAAAAAAAAATGATAATATCAAAGACCTACATGTTTACAGTGTAGAGGCCTTGATTTTATCAAATTAAAAAAAAATCCTACTGAGATTCTGATTCCTCCACTGCACACTCATCTTCATCAAAAGAACCTTTATAAATGCCTGCTTGAATTCCTAACGTCCTATATTTCGGAACTGCTTCAAGATATCGCAGCATTGTCAAGTATGTAGGGCTATTTATCTATTTTTGACGTCACTCGCAAACGAGTAGATTCTCGTGCATTTTCCCAAAAAATTCTAGCACAGAGGAAATTCGAAATGCATAAGCTGATATCACCATTTCAGCTCTTATACAAAATAAAATAACCCAAACATCGAAAAATTATAGGACTAATCGAAATTTCAAAGATCCCTTTTAAAAAGTCCAGCTTAACCCAGTTTTACTTTAGAAATCTTCTGTATGTACGCCTATAAGATGTGACAGTGGAAGTGATTCAGCCCCAAACAGGTGCCCGTCGCGATAAAAGATTAGGACTCCCATTTTATATCAAACTACAACTTTCCTACCTGAATAAATCAACTTCATGTTCTCTAGTACCATAGATGTCCAGTACATGATCTTGCAGTTCTGCTTCTGATCGATTAAATTCGAGCGCTGGGTCGAAGCGCGATGCAACGACCGCCATTTTGTTGCTAATCAACAGTCTCAAAGAGGAACAACTCCAATGAAAGTTCTGCACACTGTAAGGCAATTTTTTAATGACTAGGTATGGCGCATTTCCGATTTTATTTTAACTTTGCCTACATGTATTTAGACATGATAGTTTTGGTAGAAGAAAGTCGCTTTTCATTGCCAAGTAAAAAGTGTAAGAACAAACTTGGGAGTGTGTGTGTGTGTGGGGGGGGGGGGTGGGGGGTGGGGGGGGGTGAGCCTCTGAGTTCGACTACAAGCAAAAAAGACATTACTAAAATAGGGGTGCCGTTGGGAAAGTGTTTATTCCAGCTATATGACAAAGTTGAAAGGTAGGACCATTCAAGAAAAATTCCTAATTAAATGTAATACTAGGCACACTATTGAAAACTGCAATTAACATATGCATGTAGGGTATTATTTCGACCGAAAATGGGGGTATATAATTATACATGTGCGCTTCTCCTCTTTCGAAACTGAGGGGCACACAACCCACGCCCCCTCATCCTCCATCTCCTGTGTTCACTCAAACCTCCTCAATAGGGTTAATGACAATGTCTTATAAGGTGAAAAAAATTGTTTACATCCAAAAAAAAAGCAAGGGGGGGGGGGAGAATTTTACCAAACTACGTGTTTATACATAGATAATTTATTCCTTGCTCCTTAAATTTTTTTTTCTACTTCTCTGTTGACAGATATGTTTACGTAATAAATTAGATTGGTATTGAATCGTATATATCTTACTAATATAAAAATCACATTTTTTCACAGACAATACTTTTATTTTGTTTTTGAACATATAATCAACAGGATAGGAAACAAGTTCTAACAACTTACATGTACGAGTTCCTCTCCTTACATACAGATACATGTATAACAAATAGTTGTCATGCAAAATAATATAATTTCAGAAACATTTACAAATAAACTAATAAGACAATACATAATTGATTATATTGAAACTCATGTTAATTTATATACTTTACCAAGATCTATATTCAGGAGAAAATAACCATCAATCTAATTAATTATTCTCATCTTACACGATTTACCCAGTTGCAAGGATATACATGTACAATACATATAGGTCGGAATCGAAAAATACAAATACACTATACATACACACTGTATGTACATGTGTACACACGTACACATGTAAAAAGATTAATACAATGTATTTCAGGTTATCTATATGAAAGGTTGCATGGCTATTTGGGAATAGAGCTGCTTTAAAAACTTTTAATCATTGATCATATATTCACTACATGTAAAGTTCACTTTTTTTAAAAAAAAATAAAGTATTCTTTGCACCCCCCCCCTTTCCACTTTATTTCTAATGACGCCTTTTAAATGTTACCTTACATGTATATTCATCCTCCAGTAGAATCGATGTGGACATTTAAAACATTCGCCCATAAATATTACAAAAAGAGGGTACAGGTAGAAAAGGAGAGGTGTTTTATCACCAGACATCCATATTCGACATTCCTTACAGCTTACGCCACACTGAACGCCCCCATTCAGAAGGTCCGTGTAAGCCATCACGCAAACGATCCTTCCCCAGCGCGAAGCTAACATCTATCTGTGAAAAGTTTAACAGACTAGCGGAAACAAAATGTCAAAAGTCGACGAAACCAGAAAATTTTGGTCCGATAAATTTGACGAGTTTGATGCCTCTGGAAATGGGGAGTTGACCGTCCAAGAACTGAGGGATGCTCTCAAAGGAATGGGCGCCAACCTCTCCGACGCAGACATTTCTGTAAGTTTTTTTTTCATAATTTGTTGTACATGCATTCAAATAAATTTTGAATATGAATACGTATGTTCGAAGAATAATACATGAACATGTATAGGTGTTATAAACTCTAACCAAATTTTACCAAAATTGGTAATGATAAATAGACCTCTATCATGGTCGATCAATTCAATCTTGTGCTGCATGATATAACCAGATTACTTGCAAACAACCTTCTTAATTTCGTCACGTGTTTAATTCCCTCTGTAAGCAGTAGTGTATAGCCGACAATTTTTATAATTCCATCATTGCTATTTAGTCTGGAAGAGGAGGGATATGCATATACTGATCAATAACACCAGAAGTGGTATTAGAGGAATTTATGCATTGTCCGTCGTCTAGATGAGGTTAAACAGTTAAAGCTAGAAAATCGATGGGATAATTCCATCTGGTCAAGACTTGTTTATACTACAACTAATATATTCATAAATCTCCCTACTATATAATATTTTTTTTTAATCTGAAAGTAAAGAAATAAAGACAAAAGACGTGATGTGTCAAAATTTAACGACATCTAGCTAGTAGACATAGTAAATTGTGTTGTTAGTTTCTATGGGTGTGTCTTTGTCAGACCTTATAGAATTATTGCGTGATTCACCTGTACGCAATGTGTCCTGAATTAGCCATTTAACGTTCCCACGACACTCATTCACATAAGTAAACAGGTAAACGGGATTAATCCGTCACGCGTGTAACTTTAAATTATGTGCACTTTGTTGTATATAATAAAGTTGACTTCCCATGTATGGCAAGAATTAAGATTTCTCCCTAAATTATTACAATTTTGACGAGTTTCAGACGTGCCCTGAAAACAGGTTTTCATCTCATAAATATTTATTGCCTATACAGGTATTTTTGCCTCCGGTAAGCTAATCTTTGAGGCAATAATCTACTTTTATCATATTTCTTCACATTTTGACATTTACAAAACGAGGTCATAATATTTGTGGGTGGATCAAAGCCCATGTTTGAAGTAAGAATGGTTCAACTGTTCCTTAACTTAATGAAAATGTTGTCACACGTGGGTGATTATAATAACACTATTGTTGCATTTAGACTGATTAATCAAGTTGTCTTAGATTGACCTAAATACATAAAGCACAGACATTGAGAAGCGAAGATATATATACACCCAGTCCGGATTTTGCGTGATAGAAAAAATCCATTTCATCAGAAACAGACGTTTAATTGTCATTCAAATCCTAAATTTCACTCTAAAATCAGGTGAAATGTAACTCGCCAACCAGAAGGACCACAAACAAGGAGCGACTCCTCTCGATCTTGCGTGTCCATTAAGTATATATTTATAAATAATTATTTTTACACTTCTTTTTAAAATTCACATATATTCAATAATTATTCATAAATAGAGAAATGTGTATTTTTTGTCTGATTCTATTTTATTATAAAAATAACGACATTTTTGATGATATTGGTATAAAAGTCTATGAAGATGTCAATCCAGTTTATCTTTGTGTCATGTTCCAATGTCTCGTTAAGAATGCTCATGAATTGAATTCTAGTATCCGATGGCCATCCACTGCTTTTATTATTTCCTAAGACAGTACTACTTCCTATGTCAAAGACATTTATAAACTCAAAATATTACATCATGGGAGAAAATATATTTCGTTGTTCCTCAAAATTCTATATTATAGAACAATGCAACTGAACTGATCCAAGCTCATATTCTACCCTAATTCGGAGAAAAATCCCTTCATTGCTTAGTTTTATTTTAAATATAAAAGGATAAGCAATTCCGTCTGTTGTTGCTTTTGTTAAATCTGTTATGTTATATCATAAGAAAGATGCATGAAATATTGTTTTAAATTTTCTTTTAAGTTTCATTTCAGCGTGATCTTCAGCATATTAAGAAATAAAAAGCCATTGCAGGTACCCTTTAAACTAATTAAGATTGTCTTTCCTTTTGTAGAGTATGTTTAGAGATATTGACGAAGATAAGAGTAGAAGCATCTCTAAGAACGAGTTCATTAGACAGATGACAAAGAAAAACAGACAGTATGTGATTCTTTAAACGGTAGCATTAAAGTCACTGAGCATTTCTTGAAAACACGAAATCAACCAACAAATTATCATCAATGATTGAAAAGAAAGCATGAGCGCCTAAAGACGTCTTATATAAGCTCAAAAATTTCAAAAATATTGATTTGAAACCAATATTGTAGGGATGCCTTTAAAGAATTTTTTGCTGAAAATGACACCGATGGTTCTGGATGCTTGACTGCAGATGAGATCCGTAAGTTTGCCGACAAAGACTCTGGAGCATCGGTAGAAGAAATCCTTAAACAATGTGACGTAAACTCCGATGGGAAGATAACCTTAGAAGAATTTCTGGAGAGAATTGATGGGTAGACTACCGGTCTTCTATCCCTACAGCTCAGTCTTCCTTTTCTCTGAAGAACACACCGGAAGAAACGTGTGTATTGCTCCATAACTGCAGCAAAGCAAGCAAGCATAATCGTTTACTAGCACATATTACGTATCCTGCTTTCTACTTATTCAATTCACGCGGTATTTTGTCATCTCAAACCTGCGTTATGAACAGTTATGTCAAGTAATTATTTACTAATAAAAATAATAATCAAACGAAAATTCGTATCTTTAAACTTTTATCAATTTTCATGAATCAGACTGCACTGAGATTATTCGAAACAACATAAGATTTTAAAGATATCAATCATCGTCTCAAAATATGGATATTGAAGGTTTACCAGAATGTAAAATTTATGTATATTGTGAAAAATAGTTTTGAATACACCAAAAATATTGTAGTATTCTTTTCTAATAAATGTATTTTATTAATTGATTTCAAATTTGTAATAAATTTCAAAATTTCAATTTTAGTTTTGTTTTTAGGTTTTAATTATGATAGCATATTTAACTATGATAACAGTGACCCGCTTTTCACTAAGAAGATTAATCTTGTTAAACAGTGATTTCGAAATTCAATGATTGGATCCTGGATTTATGTTTGCCTTTAAAATGCAGTTTAAAATAAATTCACTCAGAAACTTAATACTGAATTACAACTTACATATTTTGCAACTTGAGTAAAAACTTTTACATGTATTAAAATATGAAATATATTTGTTTATAAAGCAAAGACTCAATATAAATTCAACGTTATTTCAACAAAATATATGAACGTTTGTACAACCAAAAAAAAAATCAACTAAAAGTCAACCTAATTTCAACTAATGTTCAACTTTTATTCATGTTATTTGACGTTGAAACAACGCTGAAGTTTTAACGATGCTTCAACTTTCATTTGCAACCAAAATTCAACTACAAAACAGCCATATTCCAATCCATTTCAACGTCTATTCAACGTTGAATTTTGACGTTGAAATAACCTTGATGTCACAACGTTGCCTCAACTTTCATATGCAACCAAAATTCAACGTTGATTCAACGTTGAAAGCAAAGTTCATTCAACGTTGAATCAACGTCGGAAATGCCTGTTTGGGCCTGCTTTGTGGCTTCATTAAAAATGTAAATAAATCTAAGAGTGGTCAGCTATTTATTTCCTACTAATGATAGTTCATGCATTTACCTGCAAAAAAAAGCTTTCATGGATAGTACAAGACTGCGATAGAATCTGACAATCAAAGAAAATATGGTTCCCAACCCTCAAATGATATAAAATTGAAATTATTAGAAATAATTTCAAAACGTGTTTCCAGCAATCAACCAAAAGAGATTTCAGTCTGTTTTTAATGCAATACGTCATTTCTCTGATCCGTTACAACTCTACTTTTAGTCTACGCTGATCGTGTGACTTTGCAAAAAGTTAGGAACTTTTTGACGCGGGGTTAAACGATAAACAAATCATGGTGGGTCGAAAAAAATACTTCCGAAACAAAGGGCAAGGATTGGTGTACTGTACCAGGGTGCAATACCGATCCAGATGTATTTTCATAGTATTTAAATATAATTTTTTGTGGTAACTGAATACCACCCAGTTTCAAAGTACAGTATCATGAGCTCATAAACACGTTATAAATGCTAATCATCAAAACCCTGCCTCTCAAAATTCAAAAGACATAAGTTAAATTAAACTGTCCGGAGTATTTTTTTTTTTTTTTTTTTTTTTTTTTTGCAAAGTAGGTCAAAGGTCCAGGTCAAGTGGATTGTAACGCTGGTATTTATCATAATGTTTTAAATGACAAACAGTGCACATGCAAAATAGCATAGACTTAACTCTTAAATGTCAAAAATATGCTGTATATGAACTATTTTGAAAAGTAGGTCAAAGGTGGCAAGATCGGTAACTACGAGGGTTATCCGGTAAAATCGTGGACAAAGCGTTTTTCTCGGAAAATAATAGGCGCACTAAGCTGAAATTTTCAGCCAATGTTTATTCATCATATTTAAGTGCATCTTAATTTTTTTGATAAAATATAGACAAAATAAAGATTTTATTATGCTTGAATGTGCACAGGGTACGGTCCTACGGCGCACGATCAAAAAACCTGGGTTTCATTAGCGAATACACGAGTATTATTTCGAAGTAAAAGTATTAAATAGATAAGGTTGGGGTAAAAATTATCTTATTTTTAATTCACTATCTACTATTTCGTCTTTATAAAATATCAAGGCATTTGCTTAATTTTTGGCAGTTTCTCGAGCATTTGAAATGGGAAAGTGGTAAACGCAACACATGAAAAATGGTGACGTTTGGTGACGTTACGGCGCACCGGAGAGCAGTTCAGTTTTATTTAGATGTAGTAATGATACGAAAGCCCAGAAGGCTCATTCGAGATTCGAGTTTCGAAATACGAGATTCGAAATTCGAGACTCGAAATTCGAGTTTCGAGATTCAAGATCCAAACTAACCAATCAAAAGGCAGTTTAAGATTCAATTACTCCCCTTTGCTAAGTTTTTACCTTCAAGAAATCGTTGAATATATTCAAACTGAAGAGGTCATTTGATTATATTACAATGCAAGAAAGAGTGTTATATATATCAGCACGAAATTAGAAAAAAAGATTGGGTTTTTGGTCTGCAAAGTATGCTTTAATTTATATTATAACCACTTAGATATTATAATAGATTTATATCAAGAATATCTATATCGCATTATCTACTTTGTTAATGGGTTTGGGGTCGTTATAATAAATATTGTTAATCGGATTCAAAGAGCAAAGGGGGGGGGGGCTTATTGTAGTCGATGAGAATTATGAGTGTGCTATTAAACAAGTGACTATCGATTAATGATGAACAGTAATACGGGTTTCAAAGTGGATATAGTTTGTGACAAGGTATTAGAAAGTGACCAATACGGGTTTCAAAGTGGATATGGTTTTGTGACAAGGTATTAGAAAGTGACCAGTGAGCTAGTTTGTGAAACCAAGAGACAGCCCCTTAAGTACGGATGGCTGAAATTTACATGCTTAATAAAGATAATGATTTCTCTTTGCTCAGACTCTTAGGAAATAATAAAAATGTAATGTAAAGACACCCCCCCCCCAAAAAAAAAAAAAAAACAAAAAAAAAAAAAAAACAAAACAAAACAAAAGAAAGGTTATCACGGTTATTAGACGTTATTTTTGAAAGAATACAAACATAAATTTGCTATGTTTTCTATAGTATATTATATCGATAAAAATATAAGGGGAATGGGGGGGGGGGGGGGCACGTGCCCAGGGTCCTATGGCTATGTTGTTTATTTTATTACAACGGTAGACAAATGTTCGGTTACCAACATTCAGTGTCAATCTTGCGATGCATGGGCAAAATAATTATATATTTGATAATTATTTATAAGGAAACCGCTCAGGTCTCGCAAGATGCATAACCAATCAATACACAAGTTTCAATACATGATGTAATGGCCATAGAGAAAAAAAAGATATAAAAGTGTTTAATGATGATAAAAAAAAATAATTATTTTACCAAAACAATGAACTCTTTATACACCTTTAGGACTTCGAAAAAATCGTATAGCCTAAAGGAGTTCGTATTAAAATTATTTAGTTCATGTATGCCTTTTTAGTGTACACAGGAAATCTTGAAAGACATCGTAGTAGAGATAAAGAAAAATTGCGTTCGCTTTCTTAATGGTGTGTATTCGATATAGGCAATAAGGCTGTAGCCTACACATCATTTTCTTGATGTAAAAAAATGTTTACTTATACATGTGTTTGGTTGAAAAACGGAGGAAAGTTGATCATAATTCTTATTTATTTACCAGTTACTAGAATATTTTTTCATCAAATGCAATAAAAGTTTTTTTAGCAATCCAAACTTTTATGCCTATCCAATTTTTACAGTATACAAAACTTTTGATTTTTATAACTGGTTAAATCTAGATTAAAATGTTATCTTGAAGTCGATATCAGACTATTAAAATTGACAGCCGCAAGAGTCTACGATTAGGACAGGGAATAGAAATTAGGAAATATGTTTGGAATAGTAGGAAGTCAAAAATAAAACATTTTAAAAATTATATTTTGATTATTCAGTAAAGAAGTTTCCATAATTTCCAAGCACTGTGTAAGGATTTTAAAATTTCTCAAATTTATTAGGAGTGGTCATGAAGATTTTAATTTCTGTACAAGTAATAGCTTTTCATAAAGCTTGCCTGACTAAGGCAATCAATATCTATAGAACCTATAAGCATGATAAGTAAAAAAAAAAAACGTTTACATTGGGGGGGGGGGGTAATTAATTATGAAGACGTTGCACAAAACATCATGCATTAATTTTAAGTTGTTTGCTACTCATCAGAGCAATGGAAAAGGAACAGATCTTATATAAAACGTATATTTTGTTTGTATCTCAAACAAAAAATGGAATGTACAGTACATATACATGCATGTGGATAATGTTTTGAAATATAAGTATAGTGTATAGTTAATTTATGTTTAACATGATATTGAAGATTTTTAAAAATGATTTGTTCTGTTTTTCGTTTGTTGTATGGAGAAGCCACCACTTGGTGGTGGAGGGGCAGAAATAGTTGGCACTTAGGACCAATGAGCAGTAATCTTGTCGTGCTAACACCTACTGCGACTCGGGACCTCATCCGAAGGACCGATCTCCACGTGCCGCTGTGGATTCGAACCCGCGACATAAAGATCAGCTCCTCACTCCGCGACTCTAAAAATGGTTTTAGAGGATGAAGTAAATAAGGGAAATGAATTAATGTAATTGATTTATGCTGGAAAGCCGTGGCTATGTAAAGGTTACACAAATTAGATTCAACTGCATAGGCTATCAGGAAGACAGCTGAAAATATGATAACTACAAGAAATTGGGAATCGTTATGATTGACATGCAGAATATATTAACTGTTTGTTGGGTAAGCCAGAGCATCAACGATTGTTGGAAACATGGGATAAATAAAGCCCGTTATGCATAAATGACCCAACAAACTTGACGGTAATTCCATATATATATATATATATATATATATATATATATATATATATATATATATATATATATATATATATATATATATATATATATATATATATATATATATAATTGTATATATATATATATATATATATATATATATATATATATATATATATATGAATGGCGACAGGCGCGGATTCAGGATGTTTTTTCTTGGGGAGGGGGTTCCACATCAAAAATATTTGTACAAGCAGAAAAGTAATAAACTTCCTTAATCCTGAAATGGGAGGGAGCACTTTCCTAAGTCTATTTTCTGTGTTTCGTAGGAGGAAGAATTTTATCTCTGAAAACCCGGGGGGAGGGGGGGGTGCGGGTCCGGGCGAGATATGATCAGAAATATTATGTATATTTGGCCAGTTCTTCCTCTTAATTATAAGTTTTTGTCCGTTTCGTTTTAATTACTTTAAATGAT